ACCACAACCTCATACCAGGGCCCCGAAGCGAATGTTACAACCTGTCGCCGGGAAAAAAAAAAAGGTCCAGCTTTCAACTGCTGCACTCATCTGGGGGCCTGCCACCGCAAAAATGCACATTTTCACCTGGGAGTCTGCCACCGCAAAAAAAAAGGTTAAGAAGGTTCAGCTTTCAACTGACGCACTCATCTGGGACCCTGCCACCGCAAAAAACCACAGAAGGTGTAGCTTGCAAGTGTCGCATTTTCATCTGGGAGCCTGCCACTGCAAAAACGTCAAGAATATCCAGCTTGCAGCTGTCACATTTTCACCTGGGAGCCTGCCACCGCAAAAAAAAAGGTAAAAAAGGTTTTGTTTTCAACTCCCACACTCATCTAGGGGCCTGCCACCGCAAAACCGTCAAGAATAGGCAGCTTGCAGCTGTCACATTTTCACCTGGGAGCCTGCCACCGAAAAAAAAAGGAAAGAAGGTTTAGTTTTCAACTGACACACTCATCTGGGAGCCTGCCACCGCAAAAACGTCAAGAATAGGCAGCTTGCAGCTGTCACATTTTCACCTGGGAGCCTGCCACCGCCAAAAAAAAAAAGCAAAGAAGGTTCAGCTTTCAACCGCCACACTTATCTGGGAGCCTGCCACCGCAAAAACGTCAAGAATATCCAGCTTGCAGCTGTCACATTTTCACCTGGGAGCCTGCCACCGCAAAAAAAGGTAAAAAAGGTTTAGTTTTTAACTGCCACGCTCATCTGGGAGCCTGCCACCGCAAAAACGTCAAGCATATCCAGCTTGCAGCTGTCACATTTTCGCTTGGGAGCCTGCCACGGCAAAAGAAAGGTCAAGAAGGTTCAGCTGGGAGCCTGCCACCGCAAAAAAATCAAGAATATCCAGCTTGCAGCTGTCACATTTTCACTTGGGAGCCTGCCACCGCAAAAAAAAAAGGTCAAGAAATTTCAGTTTGCAACTGTCACGCTCATCTGGGCGCCTGCCACCCGAAAAAGGGAACAAAGGTGCAGCTTGCAAGTGTCGCATTCTCATCTGGGAGCCTGCCACCGCCTAAACGTCAAGAATATCCAGTTTGCAGCTGTCACATTTTCGCCTGGGGGCCTGCCACCGCCAAAAAAAAAGTAAAGAAGGTTAGCTTTCAACTTTCAACTACCACAGTCATCTGGGAGTCTGCCACCACAAAAAATGAACAAATGTGCAGCTTGCAAGTGTATCATCTGGGGGCCTGCCATCAAAAAAATGTCAAATCCAGATTGCAAAACAGAAGGGGGGATAGATTAGAACTTTTTTTTCACACAAAGGAAGATTGATATGATTTAAAAAAAACCTTATTCTATCCCACCTCGACAAAAGTTCATCTACCAGATTTCAGGAAACTGGGAATTTTTTGTTGGTTTACTTCCAGGTGAGAATGCGACAGCTGCAAGTTGATTTTTCCTGTTATTTTTCCGGTGGCAGGCTCCCAGGTGAAAATGTGACAGCTGCAAACTCGATATTATTGACGTTTTTGCGGTGGCAGGCTCCCAGGTGAGTGCGGCAGTTGAAAACTGAACCTTTTTAGATTTTTTTTTGCGGTGGCAGGCTCTCAGGTGAAAATGTGACAGCTGCAAACTGGATATTTTTGACGTTTTTGCGGTAGCAGGCTGCAAATATGTAGAATCCCAAATAAGGATCTTTATGCTCGCGTGCGTGCAGTCTACTTACCGCGAAACAACGAGTTACACCTTACTACAACGTCTCCCGTCAAAAACGTCGTAAACAACCAGCAAAACCGAAATCACATGGTTGCTTCCCTTGAAGCAAAACAAAGATGTCACATGTTGTGACTGCTTCTTACAAACAAAACAAACGAACTCACTCAAACTGATTTGTTTTGAGTTGGTTGGTTTGAAAAAAATTGTTCTCGTGGTGAATAAGCCATGAAACAAAAAAACGAATTCCGCTCATCCGGTGGTGACATTTCATGTCATGTTGAAAATGGCGTAAATTACTCATTTTCAGACAAACCTATATTATATATATATATATAAGTTACCGGCTAAGACGCCAAGTCTAGAAGTCATCCTTCCAAGTTACGCGCAGAAAAAAACGCATGTGAAAATAAAACCAAAAAAAACATGTGACATGCGGACATGTGAAAAACTGCCGTCGACAAGTTGAAGCTGAAACACACTTGCACATTCAGTTTTCTTTTTCCTGTCAAAGCATGGGGAAAATCTTAAATTGTTCCAAGCTGGATCACACTGGCACGGTGACAAAAAACCCACTTGAATCCAAACATTTCTTGAGAAAAAGAAATGAGTGACCCCGTTTGCATTACACATGTTAAATGACAAGCAACATTCATTGATCGTTGCACGTTTGTTTAAACTGACAGTTGGGGCATTCATGTTTGTGAATCAGCTCACAAGGTTGGAACATCTCCAACTGAACATCTGACATTTAAAATACAAGACGGAAACGCGATAGTTTCACGCCAGCTTCATGGATGATCGCTGTGTTCAAGCCGATCTAAGCGTCACGTGCTAGGGCCCAACAAAGAGCGGGAAATCAGACAGGGTGGCACACTCTGTTTCAGAAAGCCTGCCGGGTCTCCAAACCAAAGTCCAAATGGTCAAGCGCAACGCTTAACCTATCTAAAAACCGCTATTGACAAGTCAACTGCAAACGTCCCCCAGCGTTTTGCGCGAGCCCGCGCAGGCGAAATGCACATGGACATGTGATAAGAGGCATTTCGTGTGGAAATTTGCAGGGAAAATGCCGGACCCTTATTCCAAGGCAAGCATTTTGTGCGAGCCTGCGCAGTCAAAATGCACATGGACATGTCACAAGAAGCATTTTGTGTTATGTCACCCACACATTACTACCACAATTTCAGCGTTGATGCAAACGTCGGGCAAATAAGACAACATGTCGGTGAAAATGGGCCACTCTTCAATGGTATCTCCCTGCCAAGTGGCTGCAAAAGTAGTTGCACTGCTGGCCCGCGCATCTGATTGACACCGGCACACAAGGGCATCTTCAGCCCTCAAAAGATGAAGGTCGAAACTGCCCGAAATAAAAATCATCATTTGCACAATCTCCAATGATGTTTTGTTTTGTTCCACGTGAGAAGAGGAGGAAATAAGTAAATAAAGGGAAACGAGGACAAGCAAATGACCACATCAGAGTAGTGAGTCCGTGCACAGCAGACAAGCGTTACCGACCCGCTAAAACTTTACAACACTCAAAACTAGAAATGCTTCTGGAGGAAGTAAGCCAGGCCTCCGTTGTGAAGTGAATCCTGGTCGCTTCATGGGGCGGGATGTTCCTCGCAAAAAAGCAGCTTAAACATCGTCGCATTGCAGAACGTCAGTTACTCATCTAAACACTATGTCATACAACAGGTTGAACATCGAGCCTTCAAACACAGATGCTGCTGTTCATTGATGCAACCTTGAAAGTCATTAACACCTTTTGTCATGCGCACTAACCGGCGCTAAGGTGAAGAAAACCAAAGCTTTGCTGTTCCCCAGCGGTGCGCACTAACTGGCGCCCCAGTGAAGAAACTACAATGTAGCCAAGGTTGAAAAGACTACACACTCGCCTGAGTTTGGCGTGCCATCAAAAAAAACAAGTCCTCTTTGCTCAATCGCCCAGCTTTGGCGATGAGTCTCTTCTGCTTTTTGCTTTCGCTTTTCAGCGTTTTGCTGACGTCTTTCAGCGAAGCTTTCAACTCCTGCCTTCTCCGCTTAAGGTCGCCCAGCACGTCAGTCATAGTAGTAGAGATCACAGGCGCAGCCACGGAGGAGGTCACAGCTGCACCGTCAGCCATAGAGCCCATAGAGGTCGCAGCTGCCAAATCATGCGCGCCGTCAGCCATGGAGCCTATGGAGGTCACAGTGGGGTCACTACTGGCGCAACAGCAGGGTTTTCGTCTCTACAAATTCAATCAGAGCCGTTGAACAGGCATGCACAGTTAGCCAGCGCAGCTGTTTCCACACTGAACAAATGCTGGTCAGGCACCAGCAAAACGGCTCCATGTTTTGAACTGTCTGACGGTCCTTTTTTCAGACCTCCGCAACGTTCTGTCATTGTTGTTGTCCTGGTGCTCAAAAAGAGAATTGCTCTGGGAGGATCGGCTAGTGCTTGGAGGTCACACCTCGGCAGTGCGCTCAGCCTTGGTGTACGCACGTGATGGCCTTGGCCGTCCATTGCGCATGCTCGAGAAGCTGCTATTGGAGGTGAGGCTAGGGCGTTTTTTGCCTGACGCCACAAGGAGTGGTCGATTTCCTGGGCCTTTTGCTACAGCGCCAGATTTTGATGACGGGACTCACAGTGAATTTTCGTATGCTCCAAGTCTTGGTTTTGGAGACCCAGTTGATGCCACAGCCGACGGCACCTTTCATGATGGCTGTTTGAAACCTGTGGAGCCATGTGACAAGAGTTCAGAAGATCCCCATGCATTTCTTGGAATGCAAGGTTGAGGTCTCTGGATCCGTTTGGGAACTGGCAGATAGCAGCAAGGTGATTGACTTGGACACCTGCTCAGAGGAAAGTGGATGTTCAGTCGCCACCATATCGTCTAGCTCGGATGAGGAAGCCGCTGAGCTCAGCAGTGCCAGACGACCTCCACCGAAAGTGCCAAACCAGTTGAAGCTCTTGCAGTACAAGAAATTCAAAACGTTACACCTCATGGAGCTGCAGAATCAGAGGATCATGCTTTGCGGTAGGATGGCTGAGCCCAGCCGTTATGAGAGCGTGCAGGAGACAAGATTTGACACTCCGTGTTGCCACACTTGTTGGCGGAAGATTCCGGAGTATGCTTGAGATTGTGCCCATGGTTGACAAAAAAGATCCCAGCCATTTGAATGATCTAGTCGTGCAGTTGTAGGCGTTTCCGGTTTTTCAGATGTCAGTTCACTTGTCAATGTTTTTGGTGCATCATGTGAACTTCATTTTAAATCTGGTGATGTCAGAAGTTTATCAACGGTTTCAAATCAGATGCAACACGTCTTGACCTCAGCGTGAGTGACTCACTCAGGTATGAGAATCCCTTGTCACTTCATGCATCAAAGAGTTCATTTTGATGTTGTTGTTTATTTGCTGCATCAGTGAACTCCAGGGTAATCTGTCAAATTTCTTTTGACCTCCCTGCACTTGGATTCAGCGGCCAATCCCTGGCAAATCACTATCTCTGTGTCCTGGGCTCAATCATCCACCAAGCAGATGGTGGGAAACATGATACTGAAGCGTCCATCTTCAAACGAAACTGTTGAGAACCAATTTTTTGCAAACGACATCGTTTTCAGGACAAATTCCCGAATGCAACCTTTTCTGAGTGAAGATCTTGAATCTGCAGACAGGTACTATGTGAGCCCAACAAGGTTTCTTGCAATCACGTGTAAGGTTGTCGATGTTTCTCCAACGAAAAATTTCCGTTGCATTTCATTTAAAAGAGACAATTACAAGTTGACGTTGTGCAAGTCATAAGCAAGACTGCATTCTAATAGTGACTGCGCAGATCCTTAAGGGACTTGCCGTGCTGCCATGTCACTGATAGACTCAGAGGCCGCTTTCCAAAAGCGATGTGATGAGTTATTGGATGGGCTTCATGACTGGTTCAGTCACTTGCAGATCACAACGTTTTCGAGCTTGGCATTCACAGTTGGCACTCCCCAGCAAGCAGTCTCAGAGCATGACATGCAAAGATTTGCCGATCGAGTTGTTCAGGGTCCCGCATCCATTGCCGAGGTGTCAATAGTTAGACGCATTCACTTTGAGGCACAGACATTGGTGATGTCGGATATCAGGAAACAGGCAGTGGCTGGTGACACTTCTGAACCATCGAAGTCCTTGCCTTACGTTGAGAAGAGGCGTCGGCTTGAAGCGCAACAGGCAAGGATCACTGGCCTTTCACACATGCATGAACAGAGAGCATCACATGGCCTTATTGACTTGTGTTTTCACATTGTTGAGTCGGGAGCTCTTTTGTATGTGGCGCCGTCCAAATGCAGTTCCAGGGATTCAGAGATCCAAACCGATGCAAAGACTAGACAGAAACAATTGTTGACTCTTGAACAAGGGACGTTGAAGGCTGTGTCGGCTGAATCCTTGCCGACCGTTGACGTTGGCACTGAAATGAAACTGATGTACGCATTGCAGCGTCGTGGATTGGCATTTGATCTTGTGGGATTGATGTCTTTTGATGCGCATTCGGAATGGGTGAACAAACTCTTCAGGGCACTCATGGCTGACACCCCAGCTCATTTTCAGGCGCTCAGTTTGCAACAAATCATTCGTGCAGACCAGGAGATGTTCCTTTTGCTTGCTTCAGAATATGATGGACCCCTCAAGTCACCGACATTAGATGGGGAGCCTCCGTTGGATGCACAGCTCCGTGTTTACATGACAGACCCAAGGGTCAACATGTACCTGGTTCCAGCTCCACTCAGTCAGAAGCGTCCAGCGCCTGCAGCCAGTGGTGGTGACAAGCAGCCACAACCTGCAGCAAAGAAACCGCGTCAAGGACCCAAGACGCCTGCCCAGTTGCCATCTGAGTTGTCAGGTCTCCACACAAAGACATCAGACAACAAACCTTTGTGTTGGAATTTCAATTTGAACAAGGGATGTGCAAATGCCACTAAGAGAGGACGCTGTCGTTTTGGTTTTCATTCATGCATGAAATGCCTGAAGGGCGGACATGGGGCACACAAGTGCCACAGCAGTTGACAGGATGAAAACCCAACAATACAGCTTGATGGCAGTAAAACAGGAACACCTGTGGCCGTGGGGATCTCAGTGACTCCAATAGATCAAGTTGTGAACGTTGGAACCTCTGTGAATGAAATTGCGGCTGAAACGTTGCAACCTTGCAGTGTCAATTCAAGATGCATCATTTTAGAAATTTTTGCCGGCAGTGCTCGTCTTTCCAAGGCTTGTAGGAAACTTGGATTTGAGGCTGTAGCTGTTGACCAAACGAAGGATCGGTCTGAGCAGTTTCCTATTTTTCAAATTGATGTGACAGACTCCCAAAGCTTGCATGACTTGGAGAGTTTCATCGATGTAGAGAAAGATGCAATTTTACACGCGCATTTTGCGCCATCATGCGGAACAGCGTCTCGAGCCAGGGGACGTCCAATACCTGGCGAACATCCCAAAGCCGGGCCTCAGCCACTTAGGTCCGAAGTCTTTCCTGACGGCTTGCCTGATCTAAGCAGTCATGACCAGGAACGAGTAGACAAGGCCAACCGCAGCTATAGCCCAACTGTGCGCTTGATCAACAAGCTGATTGTCCATGGCATATCTGTCAGCATCGAAAATCCCAAAAACTCCTTTTTCTGGAAATTTTCAGACGTTGCAAGGCTTTTGGAAACGTTTGGTGCTCGACATTTTTCAGTTTTTCATCATTGCATGCATGGCGGCAAGCGTGACAAGCAGACAGCGTGGTGGAGTTGGAATCCTAGAGATGCGGAAAAAGACATGTTTCAATCGCTTGCATTGCAATGTGATGGACAACACAAGCATGAGCCGTGGCGGCCTTACAAAGATGTCCACGGCCGGACGGTTTTTCCTACAAGTGAAGAAGCTGCATACCCGCAGTTGCTCTGTGACCGCGTTGCATGCATTCTCAAGGATGAGGCTCTTCGTTGTGGCTTCGTTTTTTCAGATGACTTGCACCAACAAATTCTGGAAGTGCCTAATGTCGCCACCAGGCAGCTTTTTACAACGCAACCCAAAGGGCAAAAATTGAGACCACTGGTATCCGAATACGGAAAATACATTGCCCTTCTTGCGTCAGCAGCAAACGAATCAGAGGTACAGAGTTTTTTGCAAAAGCTGCCCAAAGGAGCCAAAGTTTGTCATCGTATTCTTTTTCCTGGGGGTGTTGCTCGAGATGACATGGAGCGCAAATATGAGGAAGTTTTCCAAACTGAGTCATGGGAAGCTGGTGAACCATGTGAACTCTTGCAGGTGGGTATCCCTCGTGAACCGGCTGACTTCATACGTGATGCGGTCCGAAAAGGTCATCCGAGAGATATCATTGCGCAAGTGCCCCAAGAGATTAAGGCCGTTGTGCATAGCATGCTGGATGGAGATATGCTGGGGCGCTTCGAATCGAGGGCCTCCTTTTTGAAAAAATGGCTCAGGCGGTCACTTGAGTTAAAGAATGAGGAGCAGGCCTTGCACCAGAAGCTGCCCCAACACTTGCAGCGCATTCTCGAGGGAAAGCGCCTCCTTCTTTGGCGTGAAATCTTGGTGGATTTGGAATACCCAGATGTGGCAGTGATTGATGACATCTGCAGTGGCTTCAAGCTTACGGGGTGGGCCCCGTCTACTGGTGTTTTCAGACCGGACGTCAGAAGACCGTCCCTTGGGGTGCAACAGTTGATCAACATGTCAAAAGGATTGAATGCCTCAGTTGTCAACTCTCTCCAGGGTGCGGCGGAATCCGAGCACGATCAGCTTGTGTGGGATGAGACTATGATGGAAGTAGACAAAGGTTGGTTGGCTCCTAGCTCTATGGAAGGAGAGTGTTTTGTGGCCAAACGTTTTCCAGTGCCTCAGAAGGAAAAGGTGCGACTTGTGGACGACTTCACGATATGTGGCGTGAATGGTGCCTATGGTTTGAGAGAGAAACTCCGTGTCCAAGCCGTGGACGAGCTATGTGCTTACTTGGCATTCATGTTGGATCAGGCCCCATGTGGATGCCTCCCCAAGCTGACTGGTCGCACTTACGATTTGAAGTCGGCCTACAAGCAGTTCGGGGTGGACAAATGGCATGCGGACAGACTCAAGATTGCAGTCAAGCGACCTGGTGGAGGGGTTGGCATTTTTGCCGCCTTGGCATTACCTTTTGGTGCCTCGGGCTCGGTGAGTTCATTCTTGCGTGTGGCGGCCAGCCTGACATACATAGGAGTGGTTGCTCTCCAAGTCTTGTGGACGAGCTTTTTCGACGATTACACTTGTGTTTGCGTGGAGGGTGAAGAGACGAATGTGTCTTTTTATGTTGAATCCCTCTTCCGACTTTTGGGAGTGTGGTTTGCGGAGACTGGCTCAAAGGCAACTTCCTTTGGGCCCTCCTTCAAGTCACTTGGAGTAATCTTTGATGTTGGAGCCATACATGACGGCACTTTCGCACCACAGCATACCGAGAGCAGGAAGTCCGAGCTGGTGCAACTTCTTGACAATCTGATTTGTGCGCAGAGGTCGACGCCCAAAGAACTTGAGAGGCTCCATGGACGGCTAATCTGGTTTAGTGCGTTTGTCTTCGGCAGGACGATAAATCAACTTGTCAAAGCCATCTCGCTTGAGTCTTTACAGAAAAAGAAGGTGATCAGCTTCACCCCAGATTTTCTTCAGACCTTGATGGACTTGAAGCATGCGATAGGGTCCTCTAAGCCTGTGGTGATTTCCAAAACTCTTTGTACCACTTGGTACGTCTTTACTGACGGCGCATATGAGCCTGATTCAGATGTTCTTGCCAGTATTGGTGCAGTCTTGATTTCGCCGACAGGCACTCCAGTTCAGTGCTTTGGCGAGGTCGTCCCTAAGACCTTCGTGGACGAGTTATTGCAGCATTCTTCTCATCCTATTTACGAGCTGGAAGTGCTTCCGGTAGTCATGGCCACACGCCTGTGGATGAAGTACCTCGCAGGATGCCCCACAGTATACTTCCTTGACAACGTTGCGGCCAGAGCAACGTATATCAAAGGTGTTGGCGCTACGCCTCCTTCCATTCCTTTGCTCAAAGACTTTGTTCGTTTAGAAGCTAGGCTGAAGATTTATTCGTGGTTCGGTCGAGTGCCAAGTCATTCGAACGTGGCGGATTCTCCAAGCCGACTTGTCTTTGATGACCCAGTCCTGTCGGGCTGTCCTCGAGTGCGGATCGTGCTTCCAACTCACGTTCATGAAATTGGGGATGGCTCAGGGTGAGTTGGAAAGCCATTCCAACCCAAACAACCTGGTCGATTGTTCCCCCACAGCATGGTGAAAAAAGGATGCGTTGTCCGAGTGAATTCGAGGGTTCTTCTTTTCATCCAGTGCACATGTCATCCATGAAACGTTTTTTTTGTCACACATGACTGTTTGCGTGGTTGCATGTCGATTTGCAAGATTCATTTGGCGATGCGATCCGAAGCGACGTGGCGTTTGTTTTTGTTTTTTGGTTGCACCTTTTTACCCATACGACGGTGGTGTTGATCAAGGTATTGCTTTATGTTGAGGGGTACTTGGGGCGTGGCGCTTTAAACTGACCTGTAATAATAATAAGCCTGAACTCTTTGAAAAAGATGATGGCCTTATTGTGCAAGGTCTGTTGTCTTCGCTGTGCAGAAGTTTTTCCTGCACTGCGTGTGCGCCGCGTCTCCGTAATGTACTGGTACTCCTCTTTACTTCGCTGTCCTCGCTTCTCTACGCGTCAGCGTTTTTATCTGTGGTTTGTTGTGTTTATGCAAACCTCAAACAACTGTTTTTGCACAAACACTTTTGCAGTGAATGTCCTTCAGTGCTGTGATGTGTTTCATTTTTTGACACCAAACTGTGTTCCATGTTTTGGACAAGGTTTGTGTCTCTGTCAATTTTTATAATACTGAATCCACTTCATTTTATGTTGTGTCCGCAACATACTCTTTCAAGGTGTGGGTGGGTGGGACCTCAATTTTTATGAGGAAACCAAATACCCACCCTTGTTTTTCCCACCCGGTTTCCTCTGGTCTGTCTGACCTTTCTTTCATTCGGTCCGTTTGACCACACTCCTTTTTGCCTCGAGTTGGAAAGCCATTCCAACCCAAACAACCTGGTCGATTGTTCCCCCACAGCATGGTGAAAAAAGGATGCGTTGTCCGAGTGAATTCGAGGGTTCTTCTTTTCATCCAGTGCACATGTCATCCATGAAACGTTTTTTTGGTCACACATGACTGTTTGCGTGGTTGCATGTCGATTTGCAAGATTCATTTGGCGATGCGATCCGAAGCGACGTGGCGTTTGTTTTTGTTTTTTGGTTGCACCTTTTTATCCATACGACGGTGGTGTTGATCAAGGTATTGCTTTATGTTGAGGGGTACTTGGGGCGTGGCGCTTTAAACTGACCTGTAATAATAAGCAGTATGGAACCGAAAGTATATGGAACCGAGACCAGGATACACACTGGAGCAACTATGGGCCGACTCCGAACCTGCCATAAGCAAAAAAACGACCACGTCATATGATGTACAAACAAATGACGTGCAACGTGCAGTAGCGGCCATTCAGCATTTCCCATCCCCCGTTCCCCCTGATAGCCCCTTCATACGAACACTAGGGACACCGGCTGCCCTAAAAGCCCCACCGCAAACGGACACCCTAGCGCAAAGAGCTCTGGAAGAATGGGAACGCACTTTGTGTGAAAACAAGGCAGTGGCAATCCTCGCCGAGATCCAAGCCGGCCGACCAACTATAATCCACAAAGATGGGGGTGAAATGCTCATTGCCATTGTCCTTGATAGGCCACTGGCGGAAGCAAGGGAACTGGTTGATGACCCTGCGGCATTCACTCGCGAAATGACGCGGATCCTGCGTGACAAGCAAACCCACCCGCTTATCGCCCAAATGATGAAACCAGCGGCGAGCAGTGATCCACCCCCCGCCGCTGCTTCAGCCAGTGGTGCTAGTAGCAGTGGAGAGCCTCGCGCTGCCTCACACGAGCAGTTCCAGTGAGCCACATGAAGTAATGCAGAGTCCCCAAGTTTATCATCCATGCAGTTAGCGTGTAACTTGCCTTAGGTTGAGCGGTGTTGTCACCATGGGGTACTCATGGTTGATTACCACCCGCTGCAATTACTTTTGCTGTCAGCATGTCGGAGCCAATCTGGGAGGGGAGGCGGTAGGGGGCGGATATCATAATCCTGTTCTGGGTTTTTAATTTGTATTTGTTCATGTTGTGCTACCTTAATTGTTGCATGATAGTTTAGTGCGATGTCAAAGTACATCAAGCCATGGCGCCCGTTGCTTTTTTGCTCAGTGCAATCCAGTACCTGCAGTGCTTGAATGCCACCTGGCCATATGAGTTCAGTGCAACCAAGTGAAGTGGTATGCCTGCCTCAAGAACCCCAGACTCACAATGAGGCACAAGATCTCCTCCTTTTGCAGGACTATGTGCACAGACTGACGAATACTCTCAGAACTTTGGAAGACACCCACGCCGTATTGCAGCAAACAGAACTCCTTGCAGGTGTTATCAACGAGCAAGACTGCAGAGACATTCGCACAGCCTGCTGTTGCATACGGAGTCTGCGCATTCGAGTAGAAGCCCGTGCCAATGTTACAGAACGTGAAGTGATAAGTCGACAGCTACAGCTCATGCATGCGAGCGTACAACATTACCTGACTGAGGACCTTAACACAGCTGACACAAGTTGCCTGTCCAGAACCTCGTTTGAACACTTTGAGGATAGACCTGGTCCCTGGGCAGAGAAAAACGCTCGCATTCCTACACCAAGGTAACTGAGCCAGCTACCATGATCACCTGACCGCATCTAATGCAGTTGGTTGCAACACCTGCTAAGTTGACAGCTCGAGCTGCTCAACGCTTGCAAGCCTGCATCCATGCTGTCGAGCTCGCCCTTCGCGAACTCGATCGCATTGGATTCAGTTTTGAAAGCGGTATACACCGCCAGAGTGCACTGCAGCTCCCATATATGGGTACAATTTCCCATATCACAAGATGCATTGCAAGAGCACTAGCATAGTGGTGCTACTCACAATCTCGATGCAATATGATGATTGGAAAAGCAGTACTGAGCGGACTCTGAGGGTACCTGAGTGCTGTTACCGCGCCGTCTTTTTCACCTTAGATCACGTTTCACTCTCCTGTTTCACTGCGGTAGTTTTCTCACCACTTTGTTGTGACCCGGCGTTGTCGGTGTTTGCTTCAAAGTGTCAGGGTGTAATGTCATGCCGTGAAGGCTGCTCGTTGTGATCTCGGGGATCCTGGCTGGGGGGATCCCTGGTTTCCGCATTGAGCCTTGTTGCTTCCCGCACCCTTCAAGTGGCCCATGGTGATCTCGTCTTTGGTCTTGTTGTTGTTTAATTTTATGGGCCTGCCAACATGACACACAAGTTGTCATCTGCATGCGCCGAGATGATAACAAGCTATCACCTCTCGCCTCAACAGATCTGTTTCACCCATAAACTGGAGCCTGTCACGTCACGGATTTGTGGCCTTGTGGCTGTTTCCTTTTGTGTGGGTTGTTTTTTTGTTTGGGTTTGTTTCGGTGTTGTTTTTGCTTTTGGTTCTTTGTTTTTCGGTTTTTGTTCTCCGTTTTTGTTCTGGAACGTGACAAGGACTTTGGACTATGTATCGGTCCTCTTCCAGTTTACTTTTGCGGCCACTACAGCCTCGGCCCCTGCGTGAATTAAATAATTAATCTCATTTGCAACATGCTTGGATAGATGTTGAACGACCTGGCGGAAGCCACACGGCGTTGGACGGAAAAAAAAAAGCGCCTGCCAGCAAAATCGGCACTAAACGCTTCGCACTGTGGTAAAACAGCGATTTTTAGATGCGACCGTTTGGGCGTGTAGTACCCCACTAAACGCTCCGCGCTGTGGCCGGAGACACATTTTCGCCGTTTTGCTGGTTTTTTCCACGGTGAAAGGCGTGTAGTGCCACAACTGTCGTACTAAACGCTCACCCTCTGTAGGTTCAGTGTCACACACGCCGTAAATACCGCACCTGCCACCAAAATCTGCACTAAACGCGTTCAGTTTTCACACCGTGACTGCCAGAAGTATTGCACATGCCAAGCAAATCAAACCCGCAGGGGCGACAGCAAAGTTAGCGCAAAACAGCGCGCTTTCTGCAAGACGGGAAAAAGGCATTTGCATCCTCTGTTGCAACTCCGGTTCTCGACCATGCGAACTTGGAGCAAAACAAACAATCTTTCAGGATGAGCCTGGTGGCAGGCTTCAAAGCAGGCTTCGAGGCAGCCTCGAGGCTATAGAAATTGCAACGAAACAAAAAATGTAAGGATGAGGGAGAATTTTCGAGGCAAGCCTCGACGGCTGAAATTGGAGCAAATGCACATGAATGTCTATGTTTTTAAACAGGTTTCAGCTTCATTGAAAGGGCCGTTGCAACTTTACGCTTAACATGGGCCAATGTTCCTTTTTGTTGACCGTCTTGGCTTTTCGCTGTCCCCTCCCGGTCTATTCCCAAATTGACATTGGGTGCGGGATAAAAATTGTAGCTGTGTTCGTATCAGCAAAAAATACACTTTCTAGGCACCAACCCACCAACCCAGATCCAGGAAGTGTGTCAACGACATCTGTCCAAAACAAACAGCCACCTGCACCAAATGCAAGCAACCAAAACAATCAGTCCGTGCAGACAGGAGTCAAGAAATTCAGCAGCCCCAAACGAACGCCAACAAGACATTCAGCAGCCAAAGACTTCAGTGTTTGGCGACAAGCCTGCTTCATCATGGCCCCGAAAACAGGATCCAAAAAGCTAGTAGAAACATGGCGGCCATAAAGGGACCTCGACTGTACCGATGAAAGACCAACCGGAATTGCCAGCACTAGCATTACTGGCCGCTTGCTCGCACCAGATACATGGAAGTGCAAACGTGCGCAGGTTAGCCTCAAGGCAACAATTGATGTCCCTATGTGTGGAAATATCCGGTATTTTTGGCTGGTGAGCGAGGAAAGCTTCTGGCTTTGTGCATATTTGGATGAACGAGATGAAGTGGTACAGTGTGCGAGTTCTGCTTTGGTGGGACGTGCATATTCTGCTTTGGAGAATTCAATGCTGACATTCTTTGAGGAAGCAATTTGGAATTCGTGACTCCGGTCACCGGAAGAATGCTCAGGTGAGACTACATCAATTGGCCCGAGCAATTGAGGTAGTGTCATCTTAGTGTTCAGAATTGTGTTTGGATATTGCATTGATATAACAT